TTTTTACAGTGGATACATAAGACCAATTAACAACAACGAAAAAGACAAAAGGAATTCTTACTTTATTAAATGATTGAAAAATTAGTATGAGTTTTTCCCTGAAGTGAATGAGAATAGTGTTACAATTAACTAATAAGGTGTGGAATTACACTATCTCTATATGGGTAAGTACGCGCAGGTTGGGGGTTGATGGTTGAAACGAGTTCGAGGAGTTAAGACTTCCGCGATTTCTTCGTGTAGACAGTGGCGCCCGTGATCACGTGTTATCCTGTCAATGAAGGTATTACAAGCGTCAAGATGATTGGAAATAAAGAAGTCAGCTAAAATAACTCTATCAACTCCAATGTAGAGGGACAAAATATAAAGGGATCTCCAGATTAAACTGGTCTTCTTCTTTCAGTCGAGGAATAAAAATTGGGGAGCACTATAGCCAGTGTGGAAGAATGCAGGCAATCAGAAATTTAAAAATGACATTGTGTGGCGCGGCCAGCTTCCAGAGCCTTTAGGTATAAAAAGACAGTTTTAAAACTTTTGGGGAACCGTCTTTGATGAAATGAGCTGACCTTAACAGGTTATGGGTTAGGCTGACACCAAAGGATTTATCTGATACAGATTCGGGAACACTTTGAGTGTTAACTCTAAGATCGAGGAGATTATTCACAAATGAAAAAAATAACGGGGGCCGGTTTTAAGACTAAATGGAACTTCAATACACTTATTAATGTTAAGTACAAGGTATCGGGTCACAGACTAATCGTGAAGTTCATTAAGACTGTCTTGGAGAGATTCAAAAGTGTCTGGACTAGGGGATGAGCAACCAATCACAATGGGGCGATATTGTATAAACATGGAAAACAATGAAGGGAACAAGATATTACCCTGAAAATCACCGGCTTCAGTGTTGATGGAAGAGGACTGTACCCCATTCATTGAAGCAAAATGGGACCTACGGGAGGAGTAATCAATTAGTACATTCAGGACTGCCGTTGTTAGACCGCACTCAGAAAGACGTTCAATAAGCAGTCTTTGGTCGAGAGAACCAAAAGCGTTTGTACAATCAAGAAAAGTTAAACGAGTGTTACCTGCACCTTTGTCTAAAACGGAAGCAGTTGAATGAACAATATAGGCAACGGCTTCAACTGTGAGTAGATGGGGTTTATAATCAAATTGTAAAGGATCATGGGATTTGCAGTAGAGTATCATGCGGTGCAGCAAAATATTTTCAAAAGCCTTCAGGAACACAGATGTGCAGAAAATTGGAGACTACTTTGACAATCCTTTCTTCGGGATTGGCCTGATCCAGCCTAACATCCATCAATCAGGAATCGTTTCAGATGACTAACAACTAGTGAGAAATTCAGCAATAGATATTGCAAGCTGGTCGGTACTAGATTTCAAAAATGAGATACTGATCCATCGGGAGCCTAAGCTTTGTTGACCCTAAGTCATCTCTAGACTTATAGAACCTCGTCAGGAGAAACAGGGTTTATTATCTTATGAGTAGGAACAGGAGGTGGGAGGGAGCTGGATGCAGGTACAGAAGGAAACTGACCGCTAAGTTTCTCAACTTTGGGACAAGAAATGATGAATGAGCCACAGTGTTTCCGCATGGTAGTCCACATCTCACGACAGCTTTTACTGCCCAAAACAGTCTAAACATACATTCGGTCCAGGCGTCTTACTTCAGTTCTAATCAGCACAGAGGACTCTTCGACACTGNGACGGAGTCGCTTAATAAGGGGTGAAGAAAACCTACCGGTTTGAATATAAATAGTTTCAATAGGGTAACATTGGTCATAGCAGAAATAAGGATGATCAGTAAGATGTTCGCAAAACAGAGATAGCTGAGTATTGGAGAACACAGAAAAATCAGTAGAAGAAATAAACTCCCGCAGCCTGGACAGTTTCTCCAGAGGACAATTACTTTTCCGTAGAGTATGAAAGATGGGTCGGGTATGAAGGCAGTGGTTGGTCTTACAGTCTATCTTGGGGGGTGTTAAAGAGTGGTACAGTAGTCAGAAGTGCTAATTGATGATCGCTTAAGAACATGAATCATATTGGGAATATTTACATGAATACCAATAAACAAGGCATTCGTTTGGGTTGGTAAATTCACAAGGTTCGCTTAGCCTAGAACTGTTAGAAAGGAGGTATCAAAGCGAATAAAGTCTCCAGTGGTAATGCACAAAGAAGCATTACATCATTTGTATCCCTCTTCCGCTACTATTTTAGCTTTTCAGTTTTTCAAGAGTGGCCACTCTTGATAAAATACCGTGACACTGTTGAGCACTTCGTTAAGAGCGAAAGGTGAAATAGATTTTCACCATGGCATTCAGGGAATTCCACCACTGTCCAGTAGGTCTTGGTTTCAATTAGTGAATGATAATTAAGTGGATCTAAAACCATTCCCCGAAAAGATAACTGCTTATATTCACCTGAACTCCATGAGAAAGTGACCTACTTTGTCTCCGCTTATTTGAATCACATTGATTTCACGCTGACCATTATTAACTATTTGACCTTACGGAACTCCGGAATCATTAACTCGCTGTGAATTGACAGGAAGCGGTCAACGAATGCAGTGAGGTGGTACGTATTTTTGGATTATTTTTATTTATATTGTGACTACTAACAAATAACACAGTAGATAAAATCATAAATAAAAACGTAGAATGAGCTGACAGCGATCGATCAGATGTAACGAAATGTCAGTCCCTCGTGATCCTTGTCATCTTCCGGCATTAATGAAATGAATAAAAGGGACGTAAATTTTTAAACTTAAGTCCTCGACTGAAGCAGACACGAGTAACACAACTATACTACGTTCGTTCCATACATAATTCGAGAGATTACCTTTCGCAACCGTAGATGAGCTCCTGGCGCACTAATGCACCGTATGCATACCGTTTCTGCGAAAACGATACTTCTCGCCAGGCTAAAATATGAATTATATATAAGGAATTATCCTCACTGAGAGTAAAAAATGACGCTCTTGGACATACTTAATTTGTCCATCCACCAGAATTTTCCGTATCCACCATGAAACTGTTCTCAGTTTTCTACTTCATACCTACTTCAAGCAAACAGTCAAAAGCAAGCTACCAAAACCACTGCTCTTAAGTCCAATTCTATAAACTGATATTTGGTCGCGCATTTCCCACAGTATACAAACCATTCAAGTGTTTAGAGTTTGTCACTACTCATCAAAGTTGAAAACATAGACTTCGATCAAACTGACAACAGTACCTTGCACTTTGATGGTGCGTTACATGTTCTGTACAGCAACTCTTCAATTGATTATCGCTTTGGTGCGTCTCGCTTTGTGTATATGTTGTTAATGAGCAACATAGTATTACCTAAATAGCCAAAGTATTCGATCATACATCCGAGTAACAACTCAAAGCCAGATTGCATTTTACCAAATAATCACTTCCAGGAAATATCATGCAAAACGAATTTGGAAAGGAACGGAGAGGTAAGGTGAGGCTGTTGCTTTTTAATGGTACTAAAAAAGGAAGGTAAAAGTTCGCACTATATATACATATATATATATTCAACGCAGGCTTGTATACAAACATTGTGCCAACTCCACAACAATAATAACAATAACATTAGAAGGGGGCAGGTGGATTGGGTTACAGAGCAAGAGAGTGAAACAATTAAACACGGGAAAATGGTAGATAGCTGAGATAACAATATATTTGTCTGACTCATCGTAAACTTTTTGATATTTTTTGTGTTGTTTGAAGTTCGCACCAGTTCAGTTCAGTTCAGTTTGTACAACCATTAAGCACGCCTTTCTGTGCGACGCTTTTGGTTGCTGTCTTTTGGCTGCCCGTTTCGGTGAACAATAGGGAGAAAATAGGAAGATTGAAGGAAGTGCTCTGAATTTCTCCCAGTTTTGAAGATAAAGTGCCTTTAGAATAAGTTTATTTCCGGTACTCTGTATTTTGGCAACCAGTTCCATGAAGTAAATTAATCGATGTGGTCGAAGTCCGCTCTGTGACGATTTTGGAGGTTGATGATTTGGTCTATGTATACATACTATATTTTCACACACGCCTGAGTTCAGATTTTGTGCCAATCAAATCAAGGTACAATAGTCCTTATGAAAAAATCAAAACTGTTCCATGATTGGCCATGCCCCTGTTTGAAGTCCTATCTCTGTGCTGTAAAACATTGAAAAAATTGGTCTCTACCATCCACAGAGCGTTTTTACAGTCCCGCAAAACAAACGGTATTAAATTACTACCANCTACCATTTCAGTTGACTGCAAAGCTATTTAGAAACAATCAGCAACAGAATGAACCTTTACTGCGTGAGCCTCGCAGAACTCCACAAAGCCACTTACCTTAACACGGTCCCTAATGCAATGCTACATTCAATTGCGTGATGAAATGGTCACATACTAGATCCGTCATAGGAAAAGAAAAACCATGGTCAACTCTGTTATGCAAAAACTTTGCGAAAAAAGTCATTTTTTGTGTGGTTGTGATTTATTTTTACACATTCTGTCATCACAAATGGTCTCCAGACCCCTCTATATCCGTACAACACAGGGAGGGACAAAAACGAATGCGTTATTCGCAGACTGAAANTTTGGGAACGGAAATGAAAACAATCTGTCCGGGAAACAACAGAGTTCGAGAAAACACCAAGGGATTATTGTATGCGGTTGATATGCCTGACTGTGCTCGAATGAGTGAGTGATTTTTCAGTACTGTTTGTTCGGGAGTAGCAGGAGCAGGAGAAGAATTAGAGACGATAAAACGAGAAATAAAAACAGCTTAGCAAGTAAACAAACATAGGTTTAGAACTTAGATTGAATGATGAAGAATAGAAGAATGAGGAACCACATAAAGAAATTGAATTAAGCCTATCGTGAATCGGGAATAGTGGGAAATCGATGGTTCGTTTGTGGAGCAGAGAGAGAGCGCGCGCGCGCGCGCGGACAGCGTACATCACGATCCATCAAAAAGTCGGAACGTCACGTCCAGTTTCACAGCCTGGAAAGTGCATCGATTCGTTGTTTCCGATAGAGATTTTGATAGAATGTCGATTCGGTGTACAGAATGCTTTTGACCAGTTCGTTCAGGAATACCCCATCTCGATCAGCTATAGCCACTAGCTGTTTCAACGGATCCACCTGTTTTGACAGAACTTCATGATAGCGTTGGGTAATGAGCTGTAAACGAATAAAAATGAGAACAAACGATGATGAATGAAAAAAATCTGAGTACTGAAATAACAGCAGCAAAATGTATTGCATCTACAAATTATTCTTTCCCTCATTCGATGTACTAATCTAAGTTCATTTGGGTCCCTGTTCAGTCAAAAAGACGTTTTACACACCATGAATACATTCTATTACTCAGTTAAATCTGCGATATTCCAGACTAGGAGAACTACAAATAGTAAATCCTAACTGAATTTTTAAGGTAACGTTTACAAAGACGATCAAATCACGTTTGTTGCGGTTAGTAGCATCTAACCCACTTACAAAAACAGTGAATCATAGCATTGATTCTTTGATTGACTAGCTCTGAAAGAGTGGTCTATCCAAAAGTCACCCGGTGTTGCAAAAAAGGTTATTGTGACAAAAATGATGAGATTTATTTTACTGATTATCGTGAATTCATCAATTTGTATACATCTGATAGTGTATTTCGAGGTGATCTCACAAGGTCACAACTGCATCGACCTTAGCTGACCCACCCGAGTCATATTATCTGTATTGGGAATGAAATCTAGCCTTACACTAGACATGGTTTCCCTGGATTGGATGAATATTGTGTCTAGGTGTGTTCATGTGTGTGTGTGTGTATGAATGTGATTGGGTGGGTGTGGGTGTGGTTTCCCCGGGGTTGGGAACAGCTAAGAGGTAAAGGTCACATGTACCCACACCCACAGATGCACAATCTATAAAACTTAACTTGATCTCTTTATTTATCTCTCATTTGTCAGTTTTGTTAATAATCGATTTGAGTAAAAGAAGGAAATCCCTCTCTCACCGTTTATTTTTGATTCGAGTGTTTAAAATAGTCGCAGGATGTTAATATACTGCTGAAACATGAGCATGCAGCTTGCTAACGATATACACACAAACAAAATTGTGTTTTGGAAATTCTTATTTATAATGAAAAAGAAAATGCTCCCATCCACACTAGAAATTAGTCAGTGCAGATACGGATGTAAAGCTTGGCATCCGACCACCTAGTATCCAAAGGCGATTCGTCGAGGCAAACATAAGCTTTTCTTTTTTCTAATTGTACGGTGGAAATGGAGGATTTGATTTGTTTGTATGATGAATTCTAATTGATCAACAGCTCGTGAGAATGAGGTTACATCTTCCAACAGCTGTGATATCCCCTAGGTTAAGGGATCTACCAGTCCCATTCCCCAGAGTGGAGACCACATGATCAACCAAATCAATAACGTAAAAAATGGTAGGCGATTTTGGTGTGTCCTGACCAGTGGCGTTCCTGTATTCTACCACGTTTTTGCGTTCCCTCTCGACATTTTATTGCTTTCTTCGCTGATCGATCCGGCGGAAAAACAGTTGTCTATCCAAAGCATAGAACTGCAGAAACAATTGTAGTGCAAACCGAACCATACGAAATATGAGAAGAGGGAAAACAGTGAGGGGAAATTGCAACTTTTGTATAGCAACCAGAGCAGAGCCTGTTCCCATTCCGATTTCAAACAATTTCTACGAGGAACAATGCTGAATCATTGGGAATACGGCTAATTCGAGTTTTTCATCGATGATTAAACGTTCCCCCCCCCCCAATAGAATGCAAAA